GTTGACTATTCTGTTTCTTTGATGCTTTGAATTTCCCCCATTCGAGTTTCCCTTCGCTATTCACCGAGTCGACCACCTCTTTGCTTGGGCTAATCTTGCTCGTTTCTTTATCTAAAAAAGTAAAATAGACTCGAAAGAGACTTGTTGGTTTTGGCTATTATCATGGCTTAATACTATATCCATTAAAATCAAGACACCCACCCAATACTCTGTACAAATGATGGCATCGTAGAGTTCACTATCCGTCCAACGCGCGAATCTGAGAAAAGATAAAACATTAGTTGTAGTTAAAATTAAAAAACTTAAAAACAAGTTTTCTTAGACAAGTTGTGTGAATCCATAATTTTCGATGATTTGCAGACTCGTCCTCTCCGCGCCAAAATGTCACAATGATTTTAAAAGCTTAAAGTTTAAAAAACACTATAATCAACTCAAAGTTTCTCTTCAGTTTGTTGAGATCTAAACCAAGATCGATTACACTTTGTCAACAAAGAACTTGTTGAAAAAAGTTAGAAAAAAGTGAAAAAAGGTCGTGCTTTTATCATAAAACAACCCACCCTCGGTGAATAGCGAAGGGAAAGTCGAATGGGGGAAATTCGCGAATGAGTATGCGAGGACTTCTGTGATGAATCGTTATCAAAGAATACACCGTTTGAGGACATTGTCACGTGTGAATGTGTGAAATGTGATCGACGATAGCATCAGTGAAAAGTGAGGCGTGCTTTTTCATGGCAATCAAATTTTATTGTTCTATGATTACAATTTTCAAATAAAAATAGTTACAATATGACACGGATTTCAAAGCAAAAACAAGTCTTTCCGTAGCAGATCATAGCAGTAGAGTAAATAGTGAGTGTCCTCCCGGGCGTAGTGCATCATTTCTGCGGGGAGTGGTCTGAAAATGAAAGGAATAACATAAACCCCAATGTTTTTCAAGCCTGACACGCCAATCGGTCATCTGGAATTCCTTGAGTTGTACTTGACACAGCGTCAACAGGTACTAAATAAATGTAATTTAGCTCAACAATAAGTATCTTTGACTGGTTTTTGTAGACAAACTTGTAAGCTATGTTTTGGTAGACCATCGACAAGCAGGAATTTGCTTGGTTTATGTTGATGGTAAGACGGCAAATCGTCCAAAACTCAATCGTTCTAATGCCAACTCGTTTCAAGGGTTTAGCTCCACGAGCTATCTAATAGTTACTATTCCATAAATTCTTATGGCTAAGTTTCTTGAATTCCTTTGTTATAGATGGATCTTCAACCAACCATGCGTTCTTTGAGATGAGCCTCACGTACCCCAATAGAAACCGACTTTTGACAGCCCTAAATTGATTGACGATTTTAAACTCGAGGGCTTGTTGAGCTTACGTATGATTAGATTTTGTGTATTCGTTCCCATTATTCGTGCTCGTGGAGCTAAACCCTTGAAACGAGTTGGCATTAGAACCATTGAGTTTTGGACGATTTGCCGTCTTACCATCAACATAAACCAAGCAAATTCCTGCTTGTCGATGGGTCCTTTCTAAACAAGAATGCACAATTGTTTAAATACAAAAAACTGACTTCTTCAAAAGTTTCTTGCACTGATCTTCATATTCTTCGGCTTCAAATTCCTGGTCTTCGATTGCACCGTCCACATCGGGATCATAATTCTTCATCCCACGTCATCGAACCATCATCGCGCTTCGAAGCGTATTTTGTTCTAAAATCAATAAGTTTGGCATTACAAGTAGATTCTGCTCATAACGGGCCGATTCCAATGTAATAAGATGAGTATAGCCAACATGATTGCTCGCCGATGATGGGTGATTCTTGGGAGAATAGAGGCACAGGAGCTTTCTTCTAAACAAATATTTGAGAAAGCATGGAAAAACCGCAACCTTATTGCTTCCTCTGCGACGCTTGAAGATTGAATCCAACGTTCGGTTGCCTAAAAAAGAACATTTGTCAGTAAATAAAGAAAATTTACTCCAACCTTCAAGTGGCTCATTTCCTCTACAGTCAAGCTTTCACCCCGATCAATTTCGTTCGTTGCCGATCCCTCGTCAGCAACTGAGTCAGCCAAATCGTCGGGAAAGTCCATCCCCTTGCGCGTTTGCCTCTTGCGGCTGTTTGCGAATACCGTTCTAAAAGTGAAACATTAAAAACATAATTGTGAAACGATACTTGGTTGCTGAAATGACATCACCGATCATCGTTTCATCGTCCGCGTTGAACACGACGATTCGACATGGCAATCCTTTCCTAAAATTTAATAACGAGAATAAACAGTAAAAAGAACAGTGCTGATAATCGAAAATGTTGAATAAAAACAAAAAGGTTGTTGTTACTAGAGTGTCCTTGCTTGCAACTGCAACAGAAGAAACGAAAAGAGGAATTAGTCAATGTAATACGGAAAGGAGTACGGTCGCTTTGCCGCGTTTTATTCGCGACTCATGCAAAAGGAGAGGCCAAGAGATCTATCAGTGATTGGAAAATCGGATTTTGACATGAAATTTAACAAGCGCTGCCAAGGGATTAAAATTGGCATAAACCCATAAGTTGACTACTTGATTTTAAGGGGAATCTACCAAAAAGGAAATGGATTCAAAGTTCAATGAATAGCTAGCAACTGACTATCAATTACGTAAATCAATGGTTGAGTTGAGCAAACCTAGAAATTGTGGAAATTCAGTAGCCGAAGACTTGTAGAAGCTTGCACTGTTTGTGCGCCAGGATGAATTTCCCGCAGTGTTCCTCACCATTTTGAATGATGCACTCGTCGCGTACGCGTTTCGTATCTAAATTACCCAGTTAGCCCAAGAATTAGTTTGTAAAAGAATACAACAACGAGTATTATTTGAGAAAGGGAACTTGTGATCACTTTCGATGCCACTTTTGAATATAATCATTGACATATCTTTAGCTTGTATTTAGCTCTTTTCCGATCCTCGCAATGTGGTAGGTGCCGATTTTCTTTTTGCTTTCTGTCATGGTGTCACAGTCTTTCTCTTTTCTCTTGATTTCTCATGAACGAGTCTGCGTCTCGGAACGAAAACTCGCTGTCTATCAAAAGCAAAAAATGTTTTTTTGGAAAAGAATACCTAAAATTCGCTAGTATTGATCGAATATCGACATATATTCGTAAAAGCTATTGAATAATGCCAAAAGTACCAATTGCTTTCTCAACGATCCCGAATCAGTTGATAGAACTAATATTGGACAAACCGGGTCCAAAAGAGAATCTTCAACTCTTAAAAACCAATCATTATCTTCGCCATAAAGTCTTGTCTAACGGTCTGATAAAGCGGATTTCGATTTTATCGAAAATTTATTATTGCTACTGTCACGAAGAATGAATCTTCTCACGAATTCGATCTCTTGCAACAAAAATCTTTCTCTATTTCACTTCTAGGAAACGTTACAAGCATTCGACATTTGAACTTTAATGATGGCTTTCGCGATTTGCAATTGGAAGAGGACGAGATCCGCGCCGCGCTCAAAGAGCCCGCGCTCAAAGTTTTGCTAAAAAAAGTGAAACTTGTGGAGTGTTTGCATCTCGAACACATCACGGAAACCTGGTTGGACCTGATCTGTGACGTATTTAACTGTAAAGTCACGGAATCGGCGCATTTCGGCACGGAAACGGAAGATTCTGCAGAACTGGGTGCCGCTCATGGTTTGATAAATTTCATCGAAAGTGGACTGAGTTTTTGCAAGGCAATTTCACTTCATGATTTAACACCTTATGATTTAACATTTTCACTTGACGAAGAATTGTGGCAGGCCCTATTGAAGACTCGAGTTGAGTTCATTGAAATTAACGCGCCCTATGGAATGCCGAAGTGTTGCCCAGAATGGATAATAAAAAACGTATTGCCCAGTGAAAACGAGAATTGCCAGATCCTCATTTCTCTTCGATTTTATCCGAACGACGAGGATGATGACGAACATGATACTTTTGCTGCTAATCCTTTATGGAAAAGTGCAGAAGATGTGAAGCTTTGTAGAGAAATGGAGTTGGAATTGAGAGGAAGGCTTTTCTACAAAGTTGAGGGGACTTTATTTCAGTACAGTGTTTTAAGAAGAGTGGTTGCGTGGATGATTTGAGATTTTTGATGGCCAAAGAACCCAGGCGAACTTACGGCGCTCGCGAGCGTGATACTTTTGTGATGCATTTCTTTGTGAGACGATTAAAGTCGAAGCGATGCTTGTTCTGACTCTGACTTTTAATTCAAATCAATCCTCAAAAACTACCATAGTTGTACTCTACTTTTATCTAATCTATGTACTAAAATCTTTTCATGTGTTTCAAGAATCATCAATGAAGCTTCAGAACAAGCATTACTTTATAGTGATCTTATCGTTGTTGTTGCTTGAAACAGTTACATTTAGCCTTATGCTATGCACTGAAACTGGGCAAAATCCTTTTCTTTACTGCTTGATTCTCGAGCCGCCCAAGTCGCCGAAGCGTTTGCTGAGAATTTCGTGTTGGCCGAGCGCTTGGAGGAGAAAATTTGGCTATAAGCTTGATTTTTGATTCTCAACAAGCCAACTTACGACGAGGACGATGACGAGCATGATGACATGACTTTTGTGATGCATTTCTTTGTGAGACGATTAAAGTCGAAGCGATGCTTGTTTTGACTCTGACTTTTAATTCAAATCAATCCTCAAAAACTACCATAATTGCGACTCTACTTTTATCTAATCTATGTACTAAAATGCTCGTTTTTTCACGTGTTTCAAGAATCATCAATGAAGCTTCAGAACAGGCATTACTTTATAGTTTACCAATTCAAAGATTTTTCAAAAAGTAATGCTTGTTTGCTTTAACTTTTGCGTTTTTCACTTACCATTTTCTTATAACTTGTTTTTAGAATATTAGTTGATTTAAATCATTTTTGTATTTGATATATTTGAATTTGATATCTGTCACCCTTTAGTTTCCAAAACCATTTCTTACTCTCCATGTTTCTGATCTAAGAATAATAAAAATTATATAAAATCATCAAAAAGCATAATGGCAAAATAAATAAAAACATTTCAATCAATTTTCACAAAAAAGGACCGATAAACAGCTCGTAAATGTTTTACAAGAAATTTACGGTAACAAATTTTTTAAACACATTGAAGCGAACAAGGCAAGTACAGAAAAGGCAAGTCACGCTATTGTACCTCACACCAAAAATTCTGGAGTTAATTGGATATTTATTTTAAATGTAGCTGAGACTCTACGCTTCATTTACGACCGATCGTCAAAGTTGCGGCGCAAAATGTGTCAAATCCTTCAATTTTTGTATGGGATTTGACACAGTTTGGGTCACAACTTTGAAGATCGATTTCAACTACTTCTTCGTCTGTTTAAAAATATTGAATGCTAAAGTGTAGCTAAAGTGCTAAAGTGTAAATTGTTAAAGTGTCAGAAAAGGCAAGTCACGCTATTGTACACCAAAAATTCTGGAGTTAATTGGATATTTGGATTGAATCCTGATAGGACATCCGTGGTGAGTTTTAAAAGTTAATACTAACTTAAACATGGTCAAAGTAACAATTTTTGGGTTTAGGGTGGTAAACGGGCTCCGGAGAACCAGTGAAAAACACCGAATTGATAAAGAGGTTGGGCGAGTTGATTTCAGGCGAGTTGATTGCGCGTTGATTGGCAACCGAAACAATGAGTCTTCTCTCCTCTTGCCTTGCTCTTCTCTTCGCCGTTCTTCTTGCCTTTGGTGCGTTCAAGTGTAAATACAATGAAACCTTACTAAGCTAAAGCTCTAAAGAGTGGCCTTTTCAGAACTGCCCCTTCTAAAAGGTACCTACTGTTAGAAATAAATGCTCAAACAGGCAAGGTTCGATTGTGGCTCACTAAAAAAATGCTTTTAAGGTGTCTATAAGAAACTGTAGTATATTGCTCAAAGTTTTTGTTAGAAAGATAGCCCGTCTAGCTTCAAAATTTAAAAGAAATCAATGATTTTAGCCTCTGTTTCCATGGTCAACGCTGATCCCGTCCCGTTATGCGACTCATCTTGCCCGGTTAGTTCAATTGTGAAAACTCGGACTCGTTACTGCAATTACTGATTGATTATAAGAAGGTGGGATCCGGGTTTACTTGGAAACATTAACATTAATGACACAAGTTTCTCATTTAATTTCAAAAATGTCCATTTTTAGAACATCGCATTTTTTAAACACATTGAAGCGAACAAGGCAAGTACAGAAAAGGCAAGTCACGCTATTGTACCTCACACCAAAAATTCTGGAGTTAATTGGATATTTATTTTAAATGTAGCTGAGACTCTACGCTTCATTTACGACCGATCGTCAAAGTTGCGGCGCAAAATGTGTCAAATCCTTCAATTTTTGTATGGGATTTGACACAGTTTGGGTCACAACTTTGAAGATCGATTTCAACTACTTCTTCGTCTGTTTAAAAATATTGAATGCCTGGATTTTCTTCTAGAGCCAAAGAATGCATTTAACACCTACCGTTTGCAAGCACCGTACACCAAGTTCCAGGTGGCTTTGCTTGGCGCTCGTCAGGCTCGTCACCCTCTACTAACCGCTCTTCTCTTCTCGGCCGGCATCATTCTCTTCTGTGGCTACTGCTATCATTACAGTATCACCGGCGAGGAGAAGCTGCGGAAATTCACGCCAACCGGCGGTACTTTGTTTATCCTCGGCTGGTTGTCGTTCATTTTGTAAAGTTTCTTGTAAGTTATGATTACCGTAGGCATGCCATAGAATAGCCAGGTCAAGCCAAAAATTGAATCATTTGTCAATTCATTTGTTATTTGTTCGAATCTCTTCCTCTACAAGTGCTTTAGGACACTTCTTATACAAGTGCTTGCATGTTACTTAATAATATGTAAATTAGTAATGTAGATTGGTATGCTAATTTAAATAATCCACACATAATTGTGTAATCACCATTATTTCTAGAGTTAAAAATCGACTTTCAGAAGCAAACGTGAAGCCTTTTTCGACGAGTTTTACCCGGCGACAATCTGGGATAACGGTTTACCCTATGAGTTGCACGGATCGCTTTGTTCATTTTCTAACTCAATTTATTAGTTTTTTAAACTTGACAAACTTTCGCGAAATTGTAGAGCATCGATTTCTCGACGGCCTCGTTGTTGAGGGCAACATGGGAGTCACGATCGTAGCGGGATTGCTCGTGGAAGACGCCGAGTGCGTGGGCCAGCTCGTGCGATGTGAC